TTTCTAAACATAACAGTTTTAATAACTTATTTCAAGTAGCTGATTTATTTTATTTTTGCCATAATGACAGTAAATAATGTTTTACTAGATGTTTTTTAAGACACTTCTATACAGCTTAAAGTGACATTTAAAGGCTTGACTGGGTTAAATAGAAAGGTTAGTGTACTTAGGCAAGTTAGTGTATAATGATGGTTTGTTCTGTAGACTATCAAAAAGAAAAAATTGCTCAAAGGGGCTAATAGTTCTGACATTTAAAATAGTGTTTAAGAAATTAAAAACTGCTTTTATTCTAGTTGAAATAAAACAAATAAAACTCAGAAGACAAAAAATATTATGTTAAAATGTCCTTGCACTGTTAAACATCATTTGGGATATTTTTAAAAACATAAAAAAAAAAAAAAAATCCAGATTGGGGCTAATATTTTTGACTTAAACACTCTCTCTCTCTCTCTCTCTCTCTCTCTCTCTCTCTCTCTCTCTCTCTCTCTCTCTCTCTCTCTCTCTTTCTCTCTCTCTATATATATATTTAGAAGCTTACCATTGGAATCCAAATGTCCATGCTCCCAAATAGGACTTTATCTGACATAGTCTGCCTTAGCAAACAACAGAAATCTGTAACATTATGAATAGTGTAGCTGGTAAAAAAAAAATCTTGTTGTCAGACATGCTGACAATAAATAATAATGGGTAAAATGTCAAGCATATGAAGAACAACAGTCTAATTTAACCCACATGCCACATTCTCCATAATTACTGTAAATGTGGCTGTGGTTGAGTGGCTTAGGATACTGAATAATATGATGCAAAATCAAATCCTTTCCTGGTACTTCTCTTCTAATCTAAAACATTTGTTCACAAGCTTGTAATGGTTTTGTTAATTTTTCAATTTGACGTGTTCATTCATAAATGTATGTGTGCCTGGTTTGATTCAGAGAGCTCTGTTAATATAAGTAAAAAAGGGAAAAAGATGAGAAACGAATGATTGTCTTGAAGGTAACAAAGCACATTGTTGCCATAGCTACCCATAGTTATGCTATTAATATATTCACACTTTCTTTTCATCTGCTTATACAAGATTGCCATATACACATGCATGGGAAATACACATACCTGGGAAAACATCTCAGGTGTAGTAATAAGCAGTTTTTTACCATGAACTAAAATAAAAATAGTCCCCGATGCTTTGACGAGTGGATAAATGGGTAATAAAGTGAGTTATTGTCATAATTTTCCAATACTCTAAATCTAACATGCTTCTGACACAGATTTCTTCTTTCACAGATTGTTGGTCACTACAATGGGACCAGTAAAGAAATCTTGTGGTCCCCAACAGAGAAGATTCAATGGCCAAAGGGTTGCCCACCTCTGGACTACCCACCCTGTGGATTCTCTCCGTGCAAGGAAGGTAGATACCTTTTTAGTGTAAAATGTAACGTCTGTCCCCTTAGAAAATAAGAAACACATTGTTTTGCTGATGGAACCAATTATTTGACTTTGTTGCTTTAATTAAAAGCAACAAATTGGTTTTATTTCCATTTTATTTTAGGATGTTTTCAGCATTCAGAAGAGAGCAAACAATGCAACTCTTGCTTCTGCTAATGAAACAGGTTTCAGGTTATGTTGCAAAACCAATCCAGACTCATTGGAAATGCATTAATGCCTCAGCCTGGACTTTTTGCGAAATGTAAAATACTTTGCTTCGGGTTTGTTTTGTTGCATGTTTAAGATAATGAATCCACTAGAGGGTGCTTGGTAATTTTTTGCGAATCTGAAATGCTTTCTCAAGCCTGGTTTATACTCGACGTGTCCGCTTGTTCGCTTAAGTGTGCGCAGCGAATGTGACGTCATCGCAGAGTCTGTGGATATTCGATTTAGGTAAGCACGACATGATTTTGGCTGGCAGTGCATTTTGTTAGACTTGAGCGAACAGTGCGCATGCTGCCGCATTTGATTTGAGCTGAATATAAAAATTCTTTGAAGAGATTTTGTCTGAAACAGGTAAACCTGTACAGACATCTTTACGATCTGTGATCATAGAGATAACCTAATGATCAATAATGCTTGGCTAGACATTGCAACAGCCATGGAAAAGGAGAGAGTTTTGGTTAAAAAGTTTGGAAAAACATGCTTATGATGCAACTGCTAAGTTTAACAGAAGAGAAGCGTGTGGTACTCGCTCCGTACAATAGTGATTGCTTGAGGTCTATTGTTTTGTATTTTTTGAAGTTGTTTAATACATGCAGTGACACACAGTCAAATATTTTGCTGAACAGATCCACCACTTTTGACGCTCATAAATGTTAATGAAAGTCCTTGTGCAGCACAGTGGTTTGTATCTTTAATAAACTTTGACAGTTCGTGTTCATTCAAAAGTAAGAGTGATTAATAAATCCATATGACACAGTCCCTTAACAGTGGCATTGGGTCTTGAGTTTTGAGCTCAGGTGCGCTTTGCACTCACACTACAAATATACTATACCAAAGACCAACTGAACTGCGCTCTTGCACACCTTTTTCAACTGGGCCAGAGCTGGCTAACTGTACCGTGCCTGGCCCAATTTGAAGCACTTACACTTGTCAAATGAACTGGGAAATGGGGGTCAAATGAGCTTGGGTATGGTTCTTTTAGCCTAGTGTGAGTACACCCTTATAGACCATTTGCGATGACTGGATTAAAGCATAGGAGTGATGCAGTACAATCCCAAGGAAAGCATGATCTTTCAGTCTGCTGTACCTTCTACAACCTAGCACTCAAAACTCACCTACAGAATTGGGAATTGCATAGTGCAAGCTTCATTCAACACATATGTTATGGGCAGTGAATTGGCTGCTATTTTGCAGGTCATGTTTGCAAATAATTGCTACAAAAAGGCCTGATAATTATATATTCCCCCCCCCCCCCAAAATCAGTTGTTGTGTCTAGTTTAATGTAATTTCCATTTCACATTCCCAGATCATCTTCCTGTTCTTGGAATAGTGGCTGTTGGGTCTGGTCTGGCCCTCATCATATTCGGAATTTCCAGTTTTCTAATCTACAGGTACGCACTTCTTTATCGTTTTACAATAATTGCTTTCATTTTCATATCATTGACAACCTGTGAAATAAACGGGAGAGGTGTTGTTTAAGGGTTCACAGAAAGAGGACATGCTGGAACCTGCATCTGCTTCTTTTTCCAGTGGATGTTCGGGAAGAGCTTCTATAAGTGCCAGAGAGGAATTTACATGATTGTTGCCAGAGCAACCGCTCAGCAGTTGTTTAGTGAAAACTGGAAAGTACGTCTGTTTCAGAGGCAAATGCTGATGCTCGGTCTAAATATTTCATTGTTTTACTTGGTCAGCTGATATTTTCAACAAATTTCAGGCTGTGCTTTTGACCCCGTTGCTTCAATTATGACTAGAGCCAATTGGAATCTGCGGACGGTGCATTTTCTGAACTGATATTTGGAGAAAATCAGGGGCATTGTATGTATTGGATTTGAGAAATATGTTAAACCATGCAGACAGCTCTTTAATCTTTTTCATCGTTTTAAAGCTTAATAAAAGTTGCCATTTCTGTGTAAATTCATGGAGGCACTCAAATCAAATGTGCAGGAAGCTGCAGACAAGACATGTTTAACCATTTTAAAGTTATTTCTATTAATTATTTATTAGTCTAATTTACATACAAGGAAGCAATTTATGATAAAGGAACAATATAAAGCCTTGTTACATAATTGAAATCAGCGTATTAAATGTTTGTGCATTACTTATGGTGTTTAATGATTTTCAAAATCTGTGCAAACCTGATTATTTGAGAAGAATGATTGTTTTTATTTGTCACAATTATCAGCTGTGTGTTTCTCACTGATATCAGGCTAGTCAAAGACATTTTTTATTTATATATGTGTTCCCAAGTCGGCTTTTTAAAACACACGTTTTTTTTTCTATACTAAAGTTCAAGAGGATACTACTGAACAGTCTAAAACGACATCTTGTGGAAAAGGGAATTATAGAAGCTGACTCATGGGTTATATAATGGGCTCAAGTCCAGTATAGTCAACACTTTGAGACAAATATTGATGTTAGCTCCTCATGGCTACTAGAATAAATACTGCAGTTGCAGCAGAGGTAGACTTATTCTTGGACCAGCCATTCTCTCATTTTAACTCAATTAAAACAAAAAAATAAAATGGAAATCATGTGTAAGAATTTAAGTGCTCACTTACAATGCACACTAAACACAAACATAGCCAAAATGAAAATAATAGAGTGAGAGGAAAACAAGCTGATCGACATTATTCTGCTTTGGATAAGCAAGAGCAATGGAACTTTGTACTGCTGCTATGATTTGTCCACTTGATTTATTTGGAAAAGAAACAACATGGATGTAACCCTACATTGATGCTAATTTTTAATACACAATGCATACAAATTGCATTTGTTCAAAACATTCAAACTTTAGTTAATGTCGGCCAGGGAGATGCTAACATTTAACAGGAACACTGTCACACTGTGATAATAAGAGGATGCTTTTTGCATGGAAATTCTGACCAAATAGGACAGATAAACTGTGTAATTAATATTGATACTTATTACTTATAGCTGATCACTTTAAATGTAGTGCACTTGCTCTATTATTTACTATGATAATTCACTTAAGGCAAACTTTAACCACAAATATTTTATAAATTAAAGGAAATTTTTTAATCACACATTAAAAAATAATGTGACTGAACTGGACAGATGAGTTTAGAAATGCTTTTGCTCCTTTTTTTATACATTTAATTTACAAGCAGTAAAAATGATTAACACATTGTATTACTGTTTGTTTATGTATTAGGCAACTGTATGATTTCACAAGAGTCGGAATGTGAGATTTAGGGGAGCTTTTTAATCACTTTTGAAGTAAGACAGTTCTTGGTACTTGTTTGCTCTCAAACATAGCAACGTGGTTCTGTTTTATGTCTCTTTTTGTGTTCCACAAAAAGTAAGTTGTACTATTTAGATAAGTTTGTATTGATGAACCAGTGTTTGAAGTGGAAAAACTTTCACAAAAGCAATATTAAAGTGATAAAGATGAATGTTGAGTAATATACAGGGCTCAGCATAATTGAGTACACCCCATTTTGAAAATGGATATTTTTATCCAGTAAATACAGGTAATATATATTGGTGCGTTTGAACAAAACACATTTACTTAACAGATATATTTATTAAAATAATATTTAGTCACAGAACATATTTAGAAATGGAAAAATAATACATTTAAAGGCTTGAAAAATGAGGCAAAAAATTACAAACTAAAACATTCAAACAAAATTGTAAATAGTTTTGTATTTTTTTTTACATTTTTTTCTATTTTCGAAAAATTGTACTTAACTTTTCTAGAAAATATTATCTAATAATATATTATCATAAATATTATATAATAATATATCCACAAATATATTATTGTAAAGTGTAGTGCTGTCGCCTCACAACAAAAAGGTTGCTGGTTCAAGCCTCGGCTGGGTCAGTTGGCATTTCTGTGTGGAGTTTGCATGTTCTCCCCCCTTTGTGTGGGTTTCCTCCTGGTTTTCCTCCACAGTCCAAAAACATGTGGTACAGAGTAATTGGGCAAGCTTAATTGTCTGAAGTGTATAAGTGTGAATGAGTGTGTGTGGATGTTTGCCAGAGATGGGATGCAGCTGGAAGGTCATCCGCTGCATAAAACATGTGCTGGATAAGTTGGCAGTTCATTCCACTGTGATGACCCCGCATTAGTAAAGGAACTAAGCTGAAAAAAAAATATGAATAAATGAATGAATCCTCTAGAAAATAATAATTAAAATGAGAGATTTGTGGCGGTGTACTCATATATGCAGAGCACTGTATATTATTAATAAATTACATTTTGGCTTACTGCACTTCAGTGTACAGTAGGAAACATTTAGTGGATTAAAACCTTTCATCAAAGTTGCCCTTACATTATTTATCAACAGCTATTCTTGTCTTAAACATTTTTGATTAACTTCAAATGCTGTTTAATGTACTTGTCTTGCAAACAGAATGGTCAGTGTACTTCAAGTACAAGTACTAGTTAAATCAACTTAGCAGTTTTTACTATATTGCTATTTTAGTTTTTAAAAGTAAAGCAAAGCACTATTATAAGTATATTCAATGCACTGAAGTATGGCCATTTCAGTTACATTTAGTACAGAAAGTATGTGCCAGTTAAGGGACAAATCACATTCTTGAATTAAAATGTCCCTAGTTTTAGTATGAATCCCACACATTTACAGGATCCACTTTGAGTAGAACTACTTGACCAGGGCTGTGACTCACTCACACTTATAAACAACTTAATATACTCTATTAACCAGCTGGAGGAAACTAGAACAACCACACTGTCATAAAAAGAACATTCAAAGTTCTGGCTCAGCCAAGTCTCGAACCAGCAATCTTCTTGCTGTGAGGCAACAGCTCTATCCACTCAGCCACTGTGTCACTAATCAATAATTTGTAAAGAACTAGGTTTTAGGAACTAGGAGAGAACTAGGAGGTTTTGTGTAAAATGTTCATTTGTTTATCTTGTAAACTACATGATATATTTGTAAAATTATATTTTTGCAGTAAATGTACATATACTGTATCAAATTTTTCACAATATATTTTCCTGCAAATAACTATCTCAATGGTAATATTCTTAATTGTAATACACTTTATCAGTAATTCATAAATAAAGCACAAATAACATTTTGGTAACTCCAAATCCATGGTTAACTCAGCGAACCAGTAATAATAACCTCGAAGTGGAAGTGAATTGTATTTTAAAAGCAAGCCTGTTCACATGGGAAATTGACAAGGGTTTAAACCCCTGCACTTTTATTTGGTAATAGTTTAAAGTGCATCCCGAGAGCCACTTGAACTAAAAGAACAGACATTAATAAACTATATAGCCGTTATGAGCTTATATGTTGTAGCGTGACCATTTACTAGCATATATTTACAAAGTTTCGGAAAAAAAAAAAACTGCTGAAGTTTATTCTAAACATCACTTAAAAAATCACTTAACTAAATTTAATTTCACTTAAAATATAATACAAACTCTGGGTATTAAATGTATATTTTTAATAATAGTTATAATGATGATAAATCATAGTTATAATAGTGATAAAATGACACTTTCAAGTATGCAGTTTGAAATAGAAATTAAATGTATAGTTTTAAATAAACAATGTTTTAAGTGTATATATATATATTATTAGACAGCTTGTTTATTTTTCCCCAATTTCTGTTTAATGGAGACAAGGTTTCTAAACATAATAATTTTAATAACTCATTTCTAATAACTGATTTACTTTATCTTTATCATGATGACTGTAAATAATATTTTATTAGATATTTTTCAAGACACTTCTATACAGCTTAAAGTGACATTAAAAGGCTTAACTAGGTTCATTAAGTTAACTAGGCAGGTTAGGGTAATTAGGCAAGTTATTATATAACAGTGGTTTGTTCTGTAGATTATCGAGAAAAATATAGCTTAACGGGGCTAATAATTTTGCCCTTAAAATGGTTCATAAAAAATTCAAAACTGCTT